TGACCAACCAAAGGTCACTGCCTGAGTTCTGTGAAGAAGACAGAAGAAGATGAACAAAGAAAAAGACACCACCTAAAATTTTTCATCTTGTCCCATATCCACCACTGTACTATATATCTCTAAAATTTAAAACCCATCACCCAGTGAAAATACACATCTAACCCACTACACATTTATGATTTTTAACTCATTATTCATATTTACAAGCCTTCTCCAAGGTTTCAGCTCCAGAGAAGTGTTTTCCAGGGGTTCTGTGCCTGGAAGCACAGAAAGCTCAAAAACTCCAGATTCCTGAGATCCAACACAAATACAACCCCTTTTTATTTCCTTAATTTTGCCCGGCCTCTGTTTTTAGGTAGCCCAAAAAGACATCACGGCTGCAGCCCCACGGGAGCTGCAGGGCTCAGCACGCAGCTGTGTTTGCTCCAGCTGGCCAAGATCAGACATTCCGTGTTTCCCCAGCTCCCAGGGGGCTCCATGTCCCATAGGCAAAGCACCTGCACGCCCAAATGAGCAAACACGAGCCTCCCCAGGACTCCAGGGTGGCGAGGCTGGGAGCAGGCTGTCACTGCTCCTCAGGAATTAATGAGCCAGAGCCAGAGGAGCGTATTTACCGGGAGAAATGCCAGTTCCTCCCCCCTGGGAATACATTATGCCACCTTGATCACACTGGAATGCTTCAAGCTCCCCCACCCATAAAGGAAACACGTTTCCCAGTGAGCAGCCTGCATGGAGCTGCTCAGGGGAGAGAGCCCAAGGTTCAGCTCCCCACTGCTGGGATCCCATTGCTGAGCAGCAAACTGCAGCAGCAGCCTGGCATTCCTAGGGGAGCATTCCTAGGGGAGCATTCCTATGGGAATATTCCTAGGGGAGCATTCCTATGGAATTCCTAGGGGAACATCCCTATGGGATTCCTATGGGATTCCTAGGGGAGCATTCCTAGGGGATTCCTAGGGGAACATCCCTATGGGATTCCTATGGCATTCCTAGGGGAGCATTCCTAGGGGATTCCTAGGGGAGCATTCCTAGGGGATTCCTAGGGGAACATCCCTATGGGATTCCTATGGCATTCCTAGGGGAGCATTCCTAGGGGAGCATTCCTATGGCATTCCTAGGGGAACATTCCTCTGGGATTCCTATGGCATTCCTAGGGCAGCATCCTCCTCAGGACAGGGCTGCAGCACAGCCAGCACTGTCCCCAGGCATCAGGCACCTCGATGTCCCCCAGCTCCTGCCCTGCTGGCACACAGCTCCTGGCACTGGGGGTTTGATCACCTCCTCAATCAGAGAGATTCATTCTAGGGGTGCTGCAAAGTGAACAGTGGGAAAGAAATCAAATTACAGGTTTTTTTTTTTTTTGTGGAACTGAACAAAGAAATCGAATTACAGGGGTTGTTTTTTTATGGAACTGATTTGAGGCATCTTTACCCCAAGCTCCTGTTCCTGGTCCCAGTCAGACCAGGCTGTTCAGGACCTCAGTCAGCCAAGCACTGAAAAATCTCTGTGAATGATGGGATGTCCCCAGTCCCCCAGTGAGCACCTGCCCCATCCTTGCACTGACAAAAACTGAAGCAAGGCACCAGCAGCCCTTGCCCCCAGACTCCTGTGCCTGTTTCCAAACCTCAGATCTTGCTTGCATGGACACATTCTTGGCCTCTTCTGCCCCTCTTTCCCTCTGGAAGCACAGAGGGAAGCATTCCCGACATTTAAGCTTCCACACACCTTGGAAGCACCAGCAAGTTCGTGCACAAAGGGATTTCTTCTGGCTGGAGCAGTCCCAGAGCCAGCTCCCTGCAGCCAGTGTTTATCAGCACTACAAGGATAAACGCAGCACACAAGGATGCTGTGATAAATGCAAGCCGCTTTCTACTGAGTCATCACGTCCTGCAACAGCTGGTGAGCACAAAAGGTGCGAACAGAAATTGTAGCGAGGACTGCAAGAGAGTTAAGGAAATCTCCAGCTCCGTCTGCAGTCTGAGCAGTGACGGAGGGATTATTAATTAATCAGGCTCTTTAGGGAGAAAGAACCAGCATAAGGACTAATTAAAAGAACATATAGTGGAGGGCAAAAGATTATTTATGATACTAAGTAACAGCCCTGCTACTTTTTCTCCCTTGCACAGGCCCAATGGGAAGGATTAACAGGACGCATTGTCTTTAATAAAACCAGTGGTTTACGGACAGATTTTGATTTGGATATCATCAGTCTCAAAGAAGACGGCCTTGAGAAGGTAGGCAGGGTTTGTTTTATCTGCATGTGGCTGAGGATAAGGCTGGTGATCAGCAACAGAGAAATGGTTGGTGTTGTATCGATTCCAGGTTTCTGGGGTTTATATAAAAGGATATTCACTTTGTGGGATTTCTCAGATCCTTTTCCATGCTCAGCCATGACTCACTCGCCCTGAAGCCAGTGCGTGGGATTACAGATTGCAGAAGTGCTTGTGGCACTTTCCTGGGATAGTGGAGGAAAAAGAAACTTTCTGAGCATCCATTAACCCCTCTCTGCCCAAAGCAGGCAGGAATGGCTCCTGTCCCACGCCCTCTTGCTGGCCTGGCTCACAAACCCTCAGTTGTTGTCCGAGAAGACCAGAGCTCTGGAGATCATCATCTGGAGTCATTTTCCACTATGAAATTGCCCAAGGCTGGGAACGGCCCCACTTTATTACAGCCTGGAATTGGCAGGAGGATACACTGGGTATTTTGTTTATTATCTAAAGGACAATAAGGAAAAAAGCGAAATGTGGCCTTGCCTGCCTGGCTGGGGGTGTCATGAGGGCATGAAAGCTGCAGCCTTGTGTCCTCCAAATTAGTGCAGATCTTCTCTGGGCACAGTAAAACCATGCTGATGTGCAAATCTGATCCCAGGTGTGCCTGGGGATTTAATTTCCTTCTCTTCAACTACTTAAAAAAAAAAAAAAACAACTAAAAATAAAAAGGCAACACGCACAGCCTTAAAGCCCTTAGAATGCAGGTTTTAAGGTGAGATCAGTTGGTGACAAACAGAGCAGCGAGGGCTCAGGGAGCTGTGATTTCCAAGAAATTCTGTAATTCTGCCTACTCTGTGAGCAGCCCTGTGTCCCTGCTCTGCTACAGGTGTCTATCACCTGTACAGGTGGAATTTGGCAGGGCAGCAAGGCGCTTTCTAGAGCAGAGTCTGCTTTGAGACAGGTACCAGGTGCCCGTGGCAGCCGGGCACGGTGCTGGCCCTGTCCCTCTGGGCAGGTGACAGATTCTGAGCCCACGGGACACCTGGCTGGCAGCAGGGAGGGATTTCAATTACCTGAAATTGCAATCCCGTGCATGGCCCCGGAGCACGGGGGACTCGTCCAGGGAATTAATCACTCGGCACAGGGAGGCAGCCCCAGGGCTGGAGGCAGCCCTGGATCAATTCTCTGTTTGGAGGGGATGGATCCTGCACCGTGAGGCTCCCGGGACCCAGCCCCCTTTCCTCAGCGTTTGTTTTTCCTGGGCTTTGTAATGAGTGGCTGCCACAGTTCCCCACCGCAGCAGCAGCTCCGTGCCTCAGGTAACACAGCTCAAGGTCACCACAGCCCTCTCCTGATGGGGAGGTTTTGGTGTCAAATACAGAATAAAGAAAACATTTCAAATCAACCCAGTGACCTTCAGTCTCGCTGTGGTTGAGAAAGGCAGGACAGAGCTCAAAGTGCCTCGCAAGAACTGAGCAGCAGCTGACCTCTGTAGCCTTATTTTTTTACAAAATATTTTGTTTATAGAGCCTAACCCAAAAATAACAACACATCTTTTTGAAGTCCAGCAGCACCAACACGTTGCTGGAGAGATGCATTGGGCAGGTAATACAGAACGTGCCAGCCTTTGATACCACATGAATCCAAATGTTTAAGGACAGCCACAGTATCACCTGTCAAAGCAACACCCCTCAGGTGTGCTGAGCAGAGCTGGCACCAGCTGGAGTTATTGCAGTTCTCTGTCACATCAAACCCACTGGAAGCTGCCAAACCTCGACGTGTCCCCTGCACACCCCATCAACTTTTGTCTCCAATAATTCAGAGATTTCACAGCTCCCACCATTATTTTTCTGAAAGCTTCGTGTCAGCTCCAGAAGGGTTTTAAAGTATCGATGTCAAATCTCTGTTGAAGCCGGAATTCTGTCAATAGTTAATCTGAACTAACAAAATGCCAAACCACAAACAAATCCCAGCTGGATTGTGCATTATGTATCACAGCTTATGTTTGTTGAGCTTTAGGATTGAAGCCCTTATCCTCATACCTCCTGGATGTTCCAGGGATTACAGGAGTATTACCAAATCCTAATTACATATGGTTTGACTATCTGACTCACACAGTTCTCTTAAAGCACTTTTCCCTTTTTCTTCTTTTTTTAATATTTTAAACTGATTAATTGAGTCTTAAGTGCCATGCATTTAATTTTCTTAAAGAAAACATCACAAAGCAGAAGTGATGGGGGCTGCAGTGCAGTAAACTGGGGCCTCTTGACTTGCTTTTTTTCCTATCCACAATAATAATAATAATAATTTTTGACATTGCAGCTGTTGTGTGATCCAAGGCAGAGATGGGGGATCGCTTCGGTTTTACCTGAAATATTTAAAACCCTTCACAAAGTTCATGGAAACTCTTCTAGAATTTATGACAATTTTTTTGCCAGGCAGCATTGCTCATTACAAAGTCTCTTTTTGGGGATGCAGTAAAACCAAGTTCTCCCCTTGGACTGCTGAAGAGGCTGAAGAATCTTAAAAACAGCAATAAATAAAAGATGGGAAGCTGCTGGCTCCCCAGTGGATTGAGCTGGCTGCCTTTGGCTTCTCTCCGAGTCCCACCTTGCAGTTTGACCCTACAGATGGATCGTTCTGTTCCCATTTCCAGGTGGGATTTGGTTTTTTCTCACTGTCAGGCTGGCTCTGTGGCCACCCTGCTCCATTTGCTGGCAGCACTCCCACATTCCTTCAGCTTTCCTGACGTTTTATCTCACTGTCACAGTCCTTTAGCCACTCCTGCCTTCAAAGTTTGTCCCAAAGCCTCCCCTGCTCCGTGGAGATCAGGTTAACAGGCTTAGCCTCGCTCAGATGACTTCCTTAAATAGAGACATGTTTTGCCATTTCTGGATCAATAGACTTCATTAAAGTCTAATAATTCATTAAATTGACAGCTTGAGAAAACAGAGCACCTGAAATAGAGCTGATATACCTGGGCACGGCTGCTGCCACCCCCTCCTCCAGGTGTGCAGCCAGGACTGAGACCCCCCCCATTGCAGGGATTTCCCAAAGGGGGCCCAGGGTCCTGCCAAGAGATGTGTTAGAAACCTCCAGCTGATTTGCCACGGCACAGAGAGCAGGAATGGTCCCTATCAGGGATCTTCAGAGCTGGTCGAGCCATTTTTAATTCCTCCACCAAAGCAAATTGGTGGGGAAATGGAAAAGAAAGAAAATGGACTCCGATTTGTGGTTATTTTTCTTTTGTTATGCTTTATCCTTGCCCAGATTTGACTCTTTAGTGTGGTTTGATTGTTGCTCTACGCAGTGCCTTTGCAAATTGTTCATTCCTTCAGCCCCGAAATCCCAGTCCCCACAGTCTTCATCCACTGCAGCAGGGACTGTGGAACAGGTGCCACTGGGCTGCCCTGCAGCTGAAGGGTTAATACATGGAAATTCCAGTTTTTCTGCTGTTTGCTGCAGAGAAAGATGTTCCCTTTTCCAGGCCAGTAGGATGCTGGGAGCACGTGAGGAATGCAAGGTAGGGGTTAAGGAATGCAGGTAGGGATTGAGGAATTTGGGATGGGGGTTCACTATGTTGGTTTGCTTCCTTTCAGGTTGGAGCATGGAGCCCTTCAGATGGTTTGAACATCACAGAAATCTCCAAAGGACGAGGGCCCAATGTCACGGACTCGCTGAGCAACAGATCTCTGATTGTCACCACGGTGCTGGTAGGACACTGCAAGCCCGTCCTTGTCCTTCCCCAGGGATATCCCAGGGATATCTCTGACAGCTCACAGCACCCCAGTGCAGATCTGGAGGAGGCCCTGCACGTGGTCAGGGCTCACGGGGCACCCAATGCCCGTGTCCTTGCAGGGTGACACCAACACCCCCAGTGCCACCACCCCTGAGCAGGCTGCCAGCCCCCACGTGGTGGCCAGCGAGGCTGGCACAGGCCAGTGGGAACCACGGGTGCTGGTCCTCATTGAGCTCCTCCACTTCAGCTGCCCAGCCCTGTGTCCCCTGGGTGCTTCTCCTGCCCAGGAAGCTGCTGCTCGTCCTGGCTGAGCTCTTCTGCTTCCTCTGCCCAGCCAGGTCCTGTCCCTTGTCACCCCCTGCATGCTGGAGAGTCTCCTCTGCCCATCCCTGGATGCCAGAGGGCCCATCCCCTGCTGATCCCTGCGTGCTGGAGGGATGGGCAGAGAACTCTCCCTGTTGATCCCTGCATGCCAAAGGGCACAGGGGGTTTGCATGTGCTGAGCCCCAGGCCAGCCCCGTGTCACCGTGCTCCCTGTGCCCTGGCAGGCAGAGCACAGCAGTGGGCACCTCAGCTAGGGCTGTTCCTGGTACTGAAGAGAATACCAAGAGCAACCAGAGCCCTCTGGCTCAGCTGTGACACTGTCTGTCTGTCTGTCTGTCCCCCTCCTGAGCACACACTGCTGAAGTGGGCAGGACTGATGCTGTTACCAGCTCTGCTCCCAAGTGTCATGCTGCATTTTGTTCTCCTGCTCACTCTTGGATCTGACAGCAGGTGTTGGATGTCGATGAGTTTTCATTGACTGGTTCATGAATCTGGTGGCATTGTTTCCAGCATGGCTGTTACACAGCATGGGCTCATGGCGTGGCACTGGCAAGCAACAAAACACATCAGCCCTTGGCCAACCTGCCCAAAACTGAGTTATGTGTTTGCCTAGGGAAAATTCCCAGCCCTTTTGTGTTTTCATGGAATGTAAAGGTGCAGATGGAGCAGGGCCATCTGAGGATACATTCCCCAGTCTGGAGCAGTGGGAACCCTTGTGATGTCCTTCCCTTCCCAAAAGGATGTGACTTGATATAGTGTGTATTTGTATGATAAAAGGAATGGGACCAAGGTGTCCAGAGCAGAATAGAGAAAGGGGACACTTGGTCTAGAGCAGAAGAGGGGCTGGAACCAAAGGTCTTATATCCCTCAGCAAGGGCTTAGCAGGGTGGAAACAGAACACAAGCCAAAGACAGATGCTGTGGCAGCTTTCCTTGCAAAGCAGCCCCTCCTCCTAATGGACTTCCCATCCACCACATGACATTTTTCCCATGAAACATTTCCATGGAGTCGGGGTCCAGGCTATGGTACCCACCACACCTCAAAGGCCATGGCATAATGCAGAAGGATGGAGCCAGGAGGGGGCTGTCAGCCATCTGCCTTTGACAGGCTTTTAAAGGCAACATTTCCACCTCACGCTCTGCGAGCACGTACGAATTACATAAGGCATGGGGTGATAGCAGCTCCCATTAATTGTGCCACTCCAAGGGCCTGCACACATGCCATGGAACCACGGCTGTCCTGGATCCCTGTGCCCAGGGGAGGAGGGAATGTGCTCAGACCTGAGTTCTGCAGTAATTGTACTGCATATGCTGGAGTCCAAAACATAAAATACAACCCTAGATGTTATTTGCATTTGCAACACCCCTTTGTAGTTCTGCACTGCTGTAAATGACGAGAGAAGAGCCAAAGGAGGAGCCTTTAAAAGAAAAAGCATGAAAGGTTGTTTTTCCCCCTTTTGCTCATATTGCAGCGACTTGTTGGAAGAGAAATATTACCCCAGCAGCCAGTGCCACTCTCCCCAAGCAATATGGGAACTGTGAAGTTATGAAATTGAGGGCACCTTCACTGAGAAATCGATTAGCAAACTGAGAGAGCTTGTGAATTGGATGTCTGGCTATTTTCAGTAATAAATTGTGAAATAGTCCGTGAATAAGTGGTTCACAGAGTTCAGAATTACCCCCTAGGAAATGTTTGAGACCTGGAGATACATTACTGAAGCGAGTGGCGTCCTAATGTTCAGTGCTTCGGCTGTTAAATATGTATGTAATCCCTACAGCGCTTCCCAAAATTAATAGTGCTTTATGGCTGCTCTGGAGCCGGCGTATTTATATCCAGATCCATGGATTCAGCTGATTCACAAACAAAGCACTAATTCCAGAGCAGAAAGCCGAGGAGGCGGCGGGGGAGCTCAGGACTGAGCCGAGCTGCGCGTGCCAAGTTAAACTCCATGGGCGTGATGTGATCAGTCGGGTTTAGAGCTCTGCAAATGGGGCTTCGTGTGCTGCCACCTCCCCTCCTGACCCTGCTGCTGGGCCAAAGGGGCACCCCCTGCCCCCTCAGTGGGGGCACAGAGCCCCAGGGCAGGGCTGGCAGGTGGGCAGAGACAAGCACCACCAGCCTCCAGGCTGGCACAGCCCCACCTGAGCCTCCTCCTCAGGGCACCCCCAGGCAGGGCACCCATGCCCCACCAAACCTGGCGCTGTGACAGGGCTCTAATGTGAGCTCCAGACCTGCCCTCCCACCTCTTCAAGCCCCGTGTGCCTGAGCAAAATCATAGAGGGCGTTTGCCAGCACAAAGTGTAGCCCTCCCTCACCCTCCCTTGCTGGCCACCCCACAGCAAGGACAGGAGCCCTGCAGACACCCCCAGTCTGGGCTAGGACCTGGCTGCGGGTACCTCACCCTCCTCTTGCCTTCCAGCTCCTGCCTGCTGCCCACCACCTTTTCCCATTTCCATCTGTCCTCCACACGTTTTCCCCTCAGGCTCCCCAGTGTTCCTTGTCCTTGGTGGCTGCCCAAAGGATGCAGGGCTTCACTGTGTGACTTCACTGTGTGACTTCACCTGCCAGCCCCTGCTCGAGGGGAGGGATGCACAGGTCACTGCATTGGTTCCTGTCCCCTGTGCTCAGCTCTGCTGTGGTTCAGACACCCCCATGTCTCCCAGGCAGCCAGAAGTGAAGCACACAGCACAAAGTTTCCCTGGGCAATAGCAGGGCCCCATGTCCATCACGGAGTGACAGCACAGAGGAGTGACAGTGAGCTGAGTGGGGAGGTTTTGGGGTGGCCCCACAGTTCCCTCACCCTGAATTGCACCCAGCAGCCTCCAGCTCGTTGTGGTGAATGGCAGGTACTGGGTGCAGGGCTTGGGGGTGAGTTTGTCCTCCCCCTCTTTTGCTGTTTCTAACACTTCATTTTCAGAGCATGAAATGGTAATTTTTCTCCCTGAAACCCTACCAAATGGAAAACAGTTGGCTGCTTAGAAAAGACAAAATTAAATTTTGTGGGGTAAACAAGGTTGCTAATTAGCTGATGTGCTGTGCAAAGTTAATTTATTCTCGACATGTCACAGTGCCAGCCCCGCCTGGAGAGCCTGTGCCTGGTGGCTCGGGCTGACCTGCAGAGGTGGCCCTGCCTCCAGCTGGCCCTGAGTGAGGACTTTTTGCTTTCCCTGTGCAGGAGGAGCCCTTTGTCATGTTCCGTAAGTCTGACACCGCCCTGTTCGGGAATGACCGCTTCGAGGGCTACTGCATCGACCTCCTGAAGGAGCTGGCCATCATCCTGGGCTTCTCCTACGAGATCCGCCTGGTGGAGGACGGCAAATACGGGGCACAGGATGAGAAGGGGCAGTGGAATGGCATGATCAAAGAGCTCATCGACCATGTGAGTGAGCCCACGGGGGGCTGCTGAGGGTTGGCTGTGCCAGACTGTGCCAGGCTGTGCCAGACTGTGCTAGGCTGTGCCAGGATGTGCCAGGATGTGCCAGGCTGTGCCAGGCTGTGCCAGGCTGTGCCCAGGTTGTGCCAGACTGTGCCAGGCTGTGCCCAGGCTGTGCCAGGATGTGCCAGGCTGTGCCAGGATGTGCCAGGCTGTGCCCAGGTTGTGCCAGGATGTGCCAGGCTGTGCCAGGATGTGCCAGGATGTGCCAGACCGTGCCAGGCTGTGCCAGGATGTGCCCAGGTTGTGCCAGACTGTGCCAGGCTGTGCCAGGCTGTGCCCAGGTTGTGCCAGGCTGTGCCCAGGATGTGCCAGGATGTGCCAGGCTGTGCCAGGCTGTGCCCAGGTTGTGCCAGACTGTGCCAGGCTGTGCCCAGACTGTGCCCAGGCTGTCCCTGGAGCTGGCCCTGGGTGGGGCAGGTGCCATTTTTCACTAGCTCAGATACCCACAGCGAGCTCCTGACCTTGCCTGGCTCCTTGTCACACGGGCTGCCAGAAGAATATCCCTGTGTCTGGCTCTTCCAAGGATTCATTTGAAATTCCTGAAAACAGCCGTTCTCCCAGCCCAGAAATGGGCTCTGAGGCTCCAGGCACAGCCTCTGCCACAGTGGGACCCAGGCTGGGCATGTGATGAGGGAAGAGGCTTCCCCTGGGGGTGTCCTGGGCTGGCAGAGTGAGCTGCTCACACCCCCAAGGACAAACATGGGCAAGGGCACAGCACCAATGCAGCTTGGGGACCTCAGGCATGTCCCAGACACTGCCCAGTCCAGAGGAGGGATCCAGGCTGGGGGAGCAGGTGTGCACTGGGCAGTTTAATTTTTTATTTTCTATAAGAGCAACTTATTTTCTTAAATCTGCTGGGACACGGAGCTCCCTCTGCCACACAGCAGCTGAGTTCTCCTTCCAGAGCCCCTTCCAAAAGCCCATTAAACCCCAGGGAATCTCTTGCAGCAGCGTTGCTGCCACAGCCCCCAAAGCGTCACCGAGTCAGAAACTGCTGCTCACGGCGGCCAGAGGTTGCTCAGTTTCCTAATTAGATATCTCGCCTCCAGCACATCCTGTGATCCCAAGGGCCCACTTATAGAGGTGAGGAAAGCTGGTGTTTTTATGAATATCTGATTCCCAGAGAAGGCCTCTGGAAGAAAAGCTAAGGACAAAAAGAATCCCTGCTCTCTGCAGCACAGGCCACAGTGCAGGCAATGCACAGCGCTCTCCTCTTGAGTGTCCTGCTCAAATGGGGCAGCCCTTGACCACCTCCAGGTCCTGGCCACGTTCTGAATCCACAGCAAAGACACAAAAATAATCCCCTGTAGAGCTGTGATGATCTTACCATTCATGGGAGAAGAATGAGTTTGCTGGGTGAGTCACTGTGGTGTGTGGAGAGTCAAGCAGAGGCTGGGACTGATGAATGGCTCAGGAGCTGGGCTGGGCTTCCAGATCTGTCCTTCTCTGCCCTAAATGACATTGGACAAGTAGCTTCTGTGCACTGCTTCCTCCATCTGTAAAATGCAGATTATAACGATTATGTCCCTTATAGGGACAAAGTGATGCTTAATCAGTTTGTGACGAGCGCTGCAGCCCTCGGCTGGCTTGGCCCAGGGAGCAGGAGAGCAGCAGGGGCAGCCACGGGGGGAATATTCCATCAGCTCCACAAACCTGCCTTGGTGCTTTTCCTTCTGGAAAACTCGGTGCAGCTCAAAGCACAGATTTTGGAGGCTGTTACACAACAGCCCTGCCGAGTCACAGGAGGGGCAGGGTCCCAGCGGAAGGCAGCGGTGCTTTGCTGCTCCGAGTGATGTGTGTGACACAGATCAGAGCTGACACTGAGCAGTGGCTGTGCCCCTCAGCAGAGCCCCTGGGACACGGCTCTTCTGTCCAGCCCTGCTGCTGGGAGCGAGCTCTGGAACTCTCACACTGCTGGGAGTGAGCTCTGGAGCTCTCACACTGCTGGGAGAGAGCTCTGGAGCTCTCATTGATGCTGGGAGTGAGTTCTGGAGCTCTCACACTGCTGGGAGAGAGCTCTGGAGCTCTGACACTGCTGGGAGTGAGCTCTGGAACTCTCACACTGCTGGGAGTGAGATCTGGAGCTCTCACACTGCTGGGAGTGAGTTCTGGAGCTCTCACACTGCTGGGAATGAGCTCTGGAGCTCTGACACTGCTGGGAGTGAGATCTGGAGCACTCACGCTGCTGGGAGTGAGTTCTGGAGCTCTGACACTGCTGGGAATGAGCTCTGGAACTCTCACACTGCTGGGAGAGTGAGTTCTGGAACTCTCACACTGCTGGGAGTGAGATCTGGAGCTCTCACACTGCTGGGAGTGAGATCTGGAGCTCTCACACTGCTGGGGGTGAGATCTGGAGCTCTCATTGCTGGGAGTGAGCTCTGGAGCTCTCACTGCACTTTAGGGCGTGCAAGGAGCAGATCCCTCCAAAGGGAATAGGAGTCAGATGGTCATTTAGTCCAAACCGTGTCACTTCCAGTGTCCTGCAAGACCCCATGGGGCTCCCCAGAGGCTTCAGCCATTCCCAGAGCTGTGGTCAGCTAATGGTGGTCATTTAGCCCAAACCATGTCACTTCCAGTGTTTTGCAAGACCTCACAGGGCTCTCAGATGGCTTCAGCCATTCCCAAAGCTGTGGTCAACCAACTGAGATAAAGAAGGAGGTTTGGAGAGCAACCTCATTAAATAACACAAAATTCCTGGTCAAACCTGCATTGTATTATTTCTTGAATAACTATTTAAAAAGCAAATCAACACACAGCAGTAGGAAAGGGACAAACCTCCTCATCTTGCAAGTTGTGCTCTTAACACTGAGATGCAGTTCTGTGCTCTGTCCTGCATGGCTCAGCATGTGCCTGCAGGGACACTGCCCAGGCCCCACATGAAGCCATTAGTTCCTTTATCTGCATGTCATTGCTTTTTATAGCAGTGTTTATGTAAAGCCTTAGAAAGTGAAATTGCCAACCAGATGGGCCCTTCCCCAGCAGCATCTTCCCATGGTGTGGGGAAAGGCACAACCCATGGACACTGCACCAGGAGAGATCAAGCTTATTTCCCACCCAGGAGGAAAAGTGTTCAAGACAGCATTCAAATAAGTTGGAGTGATGAAAACAGGGCTGCCCACATCCAGAATTTGATATCTGTGCTGGCTTTCCTCTGTGTTCAGCATCTCCTTCTCATAAACAAATTGAAATCATTCAGGTGGGAGCATGAAGCAGGCAGGATTTTGTGAGGTCCAAATAGCCAGGGCAGGATTAATTCAGTGCAGAAAGTCATTGCATTGCTGAAGACTCACTTAGGTCAGGAGATGGAGCCCCCAGAGTGCTGTGACACGGGTGGGCTGAGCTGGTGTGGGCTCCCTGAATGACCTGTGCAGAGCAGGGAGTGCTCCTGGGGTGAAGTGAGGGGCTAAAATGATGATTATTGCTGCCCACAGGGTCTGGGAGCTGTGGAAGTGGCCGATTCTGCATACCTGGGATCGGCCAACTCAGCCTGAGCTGAGGCTGAAATTTGGAGAGGAGGAGATGGGCAAAGCAAGGGGCACCTGTCCCTTGGGATGGCCTTCAGTGGGCTGGAGATGCCACTCAGAGGAGCTGGGTGAGGGTGGCCTGGGCAGGTGCATGACAGCAGTGTCTGGGGGACAAAGATGCTGTCACCAAGTGGGTGAATCCCCAAAAGTTGGCACCCCAGAGGGAAATCACATGCTGGGACAGGTGTTTACACACTGAGCACTCCGGGTTTGATGCAGCCACGAATCCTCCCCCTCTGCTCTCTCTGATGCAGACGTGCCTGGCCACAGGCAGGGATGCCTCGGGCTATGATCCTTTGTAAAATCCCTGTGTTTCTAGTCTGGCCTTAAGCATAAACAGGAAAAGCAACAGCAATCAGAGCAGCCACAGCACGACCCTGTCCGACAGGTCCCCAGTAGCAGATGCAGAGGCAGCAGCATCCTGCAGCTCAATGCAACAGCCCTGCCCTGCTGCCTTTCATCTGCTGCTCCTCCTCAGCACTAAAAGGGCCTGTTTGGAGGAGTTCAGTTCATTCCCGGGAGAAGCAGCCTCTCTCCTCACCACAATCTACTGGTTATTGTCACCCCTCTGGCCATTCCCGCAGAGGAGCCTTGATCAGAAGGGCCATGAGAGCTGAACTCAGGTATTCAGGGAGGTCTGGGGAACCCAGGAGATGCAGAGAAGCTCCTGAGCCCTTTATTCATAACAAACAGAGAACGTGACAACTGCCAAACCTCCTCCTTTCAGCAACAGTGAACTGCTATTGATGTTTATTCATAGAAATTATTACTGATACAAGCAAAGCTCCACTGCACACCGTGGCCCATCCGTTCTGATTTATAAATTCCAGTTGTCTGGCAAAGCAACGCCTGCAAATCTTCCCTATTGTTTGTGGGCAGAATCCCATAAAACCAGCAGAATGAGTTGTTCTGGACATTTTGCACAAACTTGTTCACAAATAAAACTTGTCTTCTGCTGCCACAGTGCACATCACATTGCCATTCAATCTGAAACTTCAGGTGGGAATAACAGAGATGTGGCAAATACTGGGGTTTCTAATGGAAATCCCTGCCAATGGTAACTGTAGAGGAGTTGTAATAGCCATCCTTAGGGACGATTCCTGACAGCTGATTTAACAATTCCATAGTAAGTGGGCATTTACTGACAGTAAATTCTGGCAGAAGTACATATTGTACCACACTGCCAGCTCTCCATTAATGCTCCTGCACTGGTGGATGTTTTCTTTCAAGTGTCGTGAACTGGGGCTTCATTTGGCTGTCACTGGGCCAGGGATAAAGAACAAACAATTTCATTGGATGAAGTGTCCTCGACCTTTTGTTTAGACACTGCAGGACCTCAGTGTTAGGATGGAAATAAGCCAGATCAGGTTTTCCTTTTGTGCTCAGATCATTATTGGGTGGATTCATAATTGGGACATACTCAGGGGTCCAGCTGAAGGATCTGTATATTGGAAGCTCTGAGTTCTCTGTGTGCCTCAGCAGGTGTCCCTGCCCCTTGCTGGCTTTTTCACCTGCCAGGAATCCATAGGATAGGGCTTGTCTCTCACAGCAGTGGCATTCTCACCAGAATCCTCCAGCCTTCCCTCAGGTACAATTAATGGCAGTTCCAGCCTTGAAGATCTCCCTTAAAGTGAAGATTATAAAAGCCCCAACAGGACCTCGTGGCCCTCATTCCTCCCCTTCAGCTCACAGCTAGGTTTTTCCTGCTGACATCTGTTCTTAATTCACCTCTGATATTGAATAAATCCATTGACGAAAGTTATGCCTAGATTAGGACTGAGGTTGCAAGAGCAGCCGTCAAGAGCTGGAGTCAGACGATTAACACTGACCCTGCTCTCCTTGAGCATCCCTGCTCCCAGAGAGGGCTTCCCTGTCCCTGGGCAGGCACAGGGCTCTCACAGAGCCCTCCCACCCCTGCCCCAGCAGCAGCCCCTCCTCTCTGAGCCAGGAGCTGCAGAAAAACCCGGCTGCCTCAGCTGTGCCTGTGCCTCCATCCCCCAGGACAGCCAGGGCTGCTGTGCTGCAGGGAAAGGTGCAGGAGATGCAGGTGTGAGCCCAGCAGGCCACGGGGACAGGGAGCAGCAGCAGGGCACAGCAGCCAAGCAGGGACTGTAGGAAGCAGAGATGGGACCCAAGGCAGAAGCCACAGCCCTGGCAGTGGCAAGAGAGACTCAGGGATGACAGAGTTGATGTTGCCAGACCTGGATAACAATTAAATCAGTAAAACACACACACACACACTATTTCTGTCTCTCAGGCAACACACACATGATTAGTTTATGTAAATACCTAACGCAGATTGGCAAAATAAGCACAGAGGCAGCTTATTTTCCTGAATAAATATTTGTGCTTATGTTGTTGGTGGGCTCTGCCATGACCACGGGTTGGCTCTGGCCAAATTCAGGCACTGCAGGATTCCCACAGTGACTGTGGCTCCACGAGAGCTGTCCTGACCCACAGCCCACATCTCCCTGACAAGTGAGAACTTGGAGATAACACTTGGCATTTTCTCATGAAAGCCAAATGTCTCTGCAGCAAATACGATCATCCCTGTGCTGAACACCCGGTGAACTCACAGCTGTTCCAGCCAAGTGAAATGCTGTTACTGGGTGAATGAGGAGATCCAGACCCTTGGAGGTGTGTTGGAGAAGTGTCTGCATTTGATGTGTAGCTGCCTTGGCACAATTCATGTTTTTGGCCTCAATTCAGCAGAACACTTAAGAACAGGCACAAGATTTGGAAGATGTGTGAGCTCCAGTAAAACAGGAGGTGTAGGCTTAAGTGGTTTTGCTGGACAAGGGTCTCTAAGCCACTGGCACTTGCTCTAATTCCTCATCTTTAATAAAACCCACCTGACTCTGTAACAGCACAAGAGTCAGGGCTGAGTAAAGGAAGCAGCCAGAGTCTGGTAATTGACTACCCAGTTTGGAATGTCAGAGCACGACAAATCAAAGCTTCACCCTTGGTGGGTTTGATTTAGATCCTCTCTGTCAGCAAAGCCTTAATTAGAGGCCACCTTCAGAAAAATCTGCATTGATAAAAAGGATATGGAAGTGCAGCCCTGCACTGCCTCTAATTGCTCAGGACACACCCCAGCCCAGGCTCCCGAATCCGTGCTCTGTCCTGCCTGAATGTGACATTCCCTGCAAGGACACAGGACTGGGAGCACATCACAGGAGCTGCTGGAGTGACACAGTAAAATTTTATTTCTCCACAAAAAGCAGTTGGATCCCTGGGCATCCATGCAGATTTCTCTCTCTTCATTTTCTGCGGCAAAGCACAAACTCCAGGCCATTCTTTAGCTCACTCTATCATTCTGACAAATTTGGCTGAGGATGCCTCAGCCTGGCCATTGCCAGCGAGCTCTGACCACAGAACATTTGCTCCCTCCTTCAGAAAAACCCGCAGCCAAATCCTTCAACATCTTCACTTTTCCCTGGTGAGTCAGGACACCCACACAGAAGTGGTGGGGGAAGGAAAATGCTGCATTTCTTCTGCCATTTCTGCCTTGTGACTGTGGGGAGCACTAAGCCAAAATTTCCAGATATGCTGTGTGCCAGGATGGTCCCAAGGATGCTGAACATCTCCACCTGAGGTTGGGCAGCCACCAGTGCCTTCCAACCCCCTTCAGCTTCTGTCCATGTCACCACAACCACAGCTGGCACAATGGGCTCCCTGGGAAAACATTGTTCCCATTTTCCACAAGTTTTGGCAAATGCCAGTGACTGAAATGGGCTCTTCCTGTACCAGGCTGATGCAAAAATGTATTTCCATTTGGAAAGTGAGAAGGAAAGGAAACCAGCCAGGACGCAGCTGGAGAAGCACATTAGAACAAAAATACATCATTTTTACTCATCATTTTTACATGATTCCTGAAGCCTCTGTTCAGGAGCTCTAAAGCTGCACTCGTTGGAGGAGGGTCCCTTGCACACATACACACACACACACAAATGGACAAAATCTCATGTAGAGACTCTTCCTAGAGTACAAGACCCAGATTCCTCTATTTATAAATATTGCACTGACTTTCATCACAGATTGGTGGCAAGGTCAAATGAAACCATCAGTACAACCTTTACCCCCAGCACAAGCCAGGGATCTGCTCTGGTTCCTACAGTGAACCCCCAGTTCCTACTGAAGCAAAGTATGTTCCAGCCAGTATTGATTTAAAGTTCATGAATAATGACAAATCTACTGTATCTCTAGATAATTATCACTCATGGGTAATTTAGAATTTTAATTTTCAGAACCAGATGTTAAATAAATCTCGCCCGGGCTCCTGGCATGGGGGGAGGTTCTGCTAAGCTTCAGAGCTGTGATTTATGTGTCTGTGTTTCCTCAGAAGTTCACAGTCCCAAAGAATGATTTGCAAAGCTCAAGCAAGGAGGGTGATATTGAGGAAACCTTGGATGTATTTACCTGTGGCTTTTAAGAACCTGGATGAATGTTTAGTGAGAGGAATGAACTCAGCTCTTAACCAACAGAAAGAGGGTGTATGTGGTTGCTCACTGAATTAGCACAGAAATTAGTAAATAACAGAAATAATAGAAACAAACAAAATTCATACGAGCTGTCTAGATAAAGAATATGCTCAGCTGAAATTCCTCATGGAGCTCAGACCACTCCAGCAGGATGGGCTGAGGGGTCCATCATTAAATGGTGTTTCCTCAGAGGGTCTCACCTCCACACCTCCCACCCAGCAGGCACCAAGCACTCCTGCCCGAGACTGAGCCTCTCAAGTGGTACCATGAAACCACCAGGGGAAAAGGAATTGAGCTTTTTACTTCACACTGCCCCTGTATGGCTCCCTGCAGCCCATCCAGAGGAGCCTTCCTCCACACCCTCCTCTCCTCTTGCATCAGCGTGAAAGGCAGGACAGCAATGAATGAAGAACAACAACAGCAGGGTCTGCACACAGCCTGCTCGTTGCTGTAGAGTCTTGTGGCCAGGAGCAAGCATGGCAAGGGCCACTGACGCTTTAGAACTCTGTAAAATCTGGTTTTTCTGACCATTTCAGAAGAGCTCATGGCATTGGGGCAGGAGCTGCAGGGGCTGTAACGTCTCCATTTGGTTGTGCTGTATTTTACAGTGAACATTACACCCCCAACATCTGTATTTCACAGAAAATGTGCACCACATGTGCAACAGGATGCAACAGGGGTTTTTTGGCCTGTTTCTGTCTTATGAGAGCTGTGGTGTCTGCAAGGGGATGGAAACACCTTGGTTTGTAACTCCTGCTCTCTCCCTGCCTGTGTCCCCTCCCTCTGTGCTGTTTGCAGAAAGCTGACCTGGCCGTGGCTCCTCTGACCATCACTCATGTCCGGGAGAAAGCCATCGACTTCTCCAAGCCCTTCATGACCCTGGGGGTCAGCATCCTGTACAGGAAGCCCAACGGGACCAACCCCAGCGTGTTCTCCTTCCTCAACCCTCTCTCTCCTGACATCTGGATGTACATCCTGCTCGCCTACCTGGGGGTCAGCTGTGTGCTCTTTGTCATAGCCAGGTAAGGGCTGGTCCCTGCTGGGAGCTGCAGCATCAAACCCTTGTTTGATCCCCTGAGATTCCCCCCTGATCCATCACCGTGGGCTGGCTGCTTACTTTCACACACTCACAGTATGAAAGAATTTTAAAATGGGCTTTCTTTCACGGTTTCAGCAATTTTTCAGCTTTTCCATCTTGTCAGCACCTCCTGGTGCATGAAGAGTAGTTCTGCTCTGTATCACTGTCCATTCATGCTCCTGTTTGCTCACTGCTCACACCTTCCCAGCCTCTCCTGGGTCCTGAGCTCCCATCTCCCACACCGTTTTCCATTTCTGTCTCTGATCCCTCCACCAGTAAAGCTCAAACCCTTCCCTATATCAAAAGAACGGAGAAGCCATTGCTAGGGATCAGACATTGTGTCTGTTTACAAAATTAATATGCATCTAATTATCATGTTTAAATCCTCTATGTTTAAAGGCAGAATTTGCATACATTTGCATGTGTTGTTAATTCCACAGGGTCTTTGATGAGACACAGTCCAGGCTTGCTCTCAATCCATGATCCCACCTTTTCAAATCAAATCAAAGCACTTGCCCCCTCCTGCAGGCAGCTGCCCTCCATGACAGCCCTCCATGGAATATTTTGCATAAGCACCATGTCCAGGAAAGATTCCTCAGCCCACTCTGCAGTCTGATGTTCATTTCTCATTATTTCCAGTTGAATTTATACCAGTGGGGATTTCAGAGCCCTCCCTGCTGCCTGGGTCTGGGGGTCCATGTAGACCCTCTTCCCCAAGGTCTGCTGTGCTGCACCTTGCTGGGAGCATCCATCAGAAACCTTCCCCCCTCATCCAATGACATCAGAGAGCCAAAGAAAAGATCAGACACAGAACTGGAGCAAGCACATTCCATTAACCCTGATGGTACAACAAATCTACAATTTCCAGCATCCCTCGGGCCCAGTGGGGGCATTCAGAGCAGATTTCCTGCGTTCACTCTGTCATATCCTAATTACACAGAGCAGCAGAGTGAGCTGGGCGTGAGTGCTGTGAGCACCTGCAGTGCTCACATTAGGAGCTTGCTTTTTTCAGCTCATAATGGCCAGATCCAGCCTAAATTGTCCAGACCTCACTTTCAAAGCATGTTAAACGTGCATGGTAAGGCAAATACATCCTCTGGTCCCTCCTCTGCTCAGGGTCAGAGCTGGACATTGTGTTTTCCTCTCAGAGGACAGGGAGGGCCCTCCCTGATCCAGAATGCACCCCCTGATCCAAACTGCACCCCCCTAATCCAGATTCCACCCCCTGATCCAAACTGCACCCCCTAATCCAGACTGCACCCCCTGATCCAGACTGCACCCCCTGATCCAGA